GTTTATTAGGGATTAATTGATAATGATGAACATTTCAGCTTGGCCCTGAGTTCTCATCACTCTAGTTCAGCAAAAAGAGACTGACTGCTCATCCTTCTAATCTTTGCTTGTTAGTGATGTATGCAAATACCCAGTAAAAAGGAAATGATTACAAATTCCTAAACTCATTCTGGAATGATCAAGGATTAGACTGTTCAGCCCTGAAAGTTAAATCAGCATATATTTCAAACTAAATGCCAGGCTGAGTTATAATTTTAAGGTCCATCTCTAAAACTTTGGCCAAAAGTAAAACAAACAAAATGTTAAGAACAAATTTTTAAAAAGCACTTTGGTTTACTTTCAACAGTTTATGCCTTATTGATGTAGTTTACCTTAATGGTTTGTTTTGTTTTTTTTTGCTTCGCCCTCAAAAGCATGCTAAGAACTAGAAGTGTAGAAACACAAATCTTATTTATATTACACTTAATATTTAATACAAATATCATACTAGTATTTTATGTTGACTTTAATGCTTCTTTTGGTGGGTTTTATATACATATGTATATGTATATATATTATTGATGTAGTTTACCTTAATGGTTTGTTTTGTTTTTTTTTGCTTCGCCCTCAAAAGCATGCTAAGAACTAGAAGTGTAGAAACACAAATCTTATTTATATTACACTTAATATTTAATACAAATATCATACTAGTATTTTATGTTGACTTTAATGCTTCTTTTGGTGGGTTTTATATACATATGTATATGTATATATATACATAATGCTAAGCACCTGCTTTACTACTGAGCTGCACTCTAGCCCAAGAGCAGATTCTCTGACAGCCAGGTGCTGCCATATTTGCAGGTCATCCTGGAGATAAAGTAAAAATATTCTTAACCTTAATCAGATACGGACAAACCTCTTCAGAAAGGAGATGTTATGGTTTGTGTCTAATGTCCCTCCAAAGCCTCACACAGTCATAGGTGGGGCTTTTTTAGAAGCAGCTAGATCTAGAGCACGTGACTGGTGGGATTGATTCATGGTGCAATGCTAGGATCAAGGGTGTGAGTGCTACCCACCCTAAGTAGCCTGGATAAGATATAAGGGATAGAAAGAGCTATGGTAGTCCCTTGTTTGCTTTGCTACTTTCTGCCCACCATGAACTGTTTCTCTTCTGTGTTGCCCCTCTGCCATGTGCCACCCTACCTTGGAATCAGCCGATTATGAACTGAAATCTCTATGAACTGTGAGCTAAATAAACTTTTGCCCTTTAACTTGGGTGTTGGGTATTCTGTCTCAGCAATTAAGAAAAGGTAACTAAGACTGGAGATAAGACACATTCATGGGCATCAAGGGAGACAGCAGAATTTCTCTAAAGTAGAGCCTAGGGTGGCCTTGACCTTGATTAAAGAACAAGGTCTAGCCGGGTGTGGTGGCACACGCCTGTAATCCCAGCACACAGGAGGCTGAGGCAGAAGGATCAATGTGAGTTCAAAACCAGCCTGGGATACATAGTGAGTTCCAGGTCAGTCTCAACTACATAGTGAGACTCTGTCTCAAAGAACAACAACAACAAAAAGAACAAGGTCTACATTACAAAGAGAGTTACTCCAGGATTTCTCTTTCAGACACATTTCTGCAATTACTTTCAAATGTTTATCACCATTATTTTAGTATTCATCATTATTCTTCAATGTTTTTTGTCCTTTTAAAACCTGGATGAACAAAATAGTTTTTTTAAAGTCACTCTTCCTACCAAATCCAGTTTGGGAAAGAGTAATACAGCAATCTGGGCTGGGCATAGTGGCACGTGTTTATAATTCCATCTTCTTAGGAAGGCTGAGGCGCAAGGATTTCAAGTTTGAGGCCAGTCTGGACAACTTAGTGAGATCGTCTCAAAACGAAAACATTAAAAGGGCTGGGTATGTGACCCAACACTCTCTGAGTTCAACCCCTAGTATCTCACACATACATAACACACACACACACACACAAATGACAACAAAACCCACACATAACAATTTGGAAATAAGAATGTGAAATAATAGTGTCAACAATATATTTCAGATTTTTCAAAGATATCAAAAACTTCAGTACTTTGGAATGCAAACATCTTTTGGAATCTCATTAGGTCATAAAGTTATCTACATAATTCAAAAAAAAACCAAGGTGAGTATAATTAGAATGAAGAAATTACAAAGTATGTAGCTCAAGGGTACAATGCTTTCCAGCAGTTGTAAGGCCTTAGGTTCTAGAAAAACAAAGCAAAACAAAATACAAAGTATGGACTTTCAAATTTAAAAAAGTTTTGTTCAAGGTCTAGAGAGAGAAATAAGTGATATCTTGATGTTGAAATTGGGTCACGCTGGTATATTTCCAACTGTTGGGAAAAGTCCTTGAGTTGAGCTCACGTTAGCCTGCAGGTAGCACCAGGTGGGGCAGCCCACAGCAAGATGCACAGAGCCTTACTTCTTCCTAGCCTCCTGACAGCCAGTGTCTAGGCCTGTCCCTGAGTCTTTGCTGAGTTGCTTCATCTGTCCAAATGATCTGTCACTATTTTCCATCATTTCATCCTCAGCTTCATCCAACTCAGGCATCATCTCATGACTGCCAATCCCCGTTCAGCATCCAAAGACCCTGCTGGGAAACCCAGCACCCATGGCCCTGGAGCTAACCCCACTCTGCCCTTGAAGTCCATCTCAGGTACCTCCCAATGAACGCCCCCCATGATCACCTACACCTGCCCACATCTGCATTCTATTTCCTTCAGGTTGTGGTGGCAAGAGGAGTAATGAGGACCTTACAGTATCCAACTGGTACACACCCCACACCACAGTTTTTATTTTTTATTGTTTGTTTGTTTTGCAGTGGTAGGGATCGAACCATGAGCCTCATGCATGCTAGACAAATACTCTACCACTGACACCCATACCCAACCCCCACACCACGGTTTTCAAAAAATACTTTTATAAAAACAAACCTGCCTACTGAAGGCTGATCTTTAAAATGATACATAATCCTTATTCTTTAAGTACCCTTATTAGCAACTAGCTGTGGCAGTGCACGCCTGTAATCCCAGTTGTGGGAGGCCAAGGCAGGAGGATTCAGAGTTAGAGACCAGCCAGGACTACACAGGGAGTTCTAGGCCACCCTGACTACAAAGTGAGATCTTGTTTCAGAAAAACAATGAAACAAAACAAAAACAACAAATCCTTATTAGTGGTGGCCTGTTTCTGTAGTCCCAGCAATCCTGGAGGCTGAGTCAGGAGGATCGCTTGAGCCAAGAGTTGGAGGCTAGTCTGACAACACAGTGAGATCCTATTTAAAAAATAAATAGATGTAAGTAAAATTAAAGGCTTTCGTTTTTGTGCCAGGGATCGAACTGGGGCCCTTGCACTTGCAAGGCAAGCAGCAGAACCACTAAGCCAAATCCCCGGCCCAAAGCCTTATTTAAAGAATCATACAGGGAATTTTGTTTGCCTTTGAGGTGCCCTGGGTAACAGAGAGGGCTGAATCCTTTTGGACTCAACTCCACCTTTCAGAGTTCTAAAAGCAGGGAGGTAACTAATGCCCCCAATTTAGTCCCAGTAGATTTTATTTCCATGAGATTGTATGATTAAGCATTCATCCACACAGGTTAAGCCCTCAGAGGGTCTATGAAAATTAGTTAACATTTGGAATCTCTCTCCTTGGTCTCCTGCTCAAGAATCTCTCTGGGAATGATTAGGAGTTTATCCATACAGCTCTGACAGTCAAGTGGCAGGGCTGATAAAGCTGGTGGGTGGCTTTATCAGTTTCAGAGCCAAAGCAACTTTTAAGAGCCTATAAAAATGCTGACAAATATTCCTTCTGACCAATGCATCACCATCCTTCACTATCAATTCTGCCAGCTTAGTGGGATTCCCTTACTAACTAGTTAAAACGCTGCAGTTTAAGGAATGATTTCTAAAAAACACAAACAAGTGTGGATTCAAGGCTATCTCTCCCTTGGTCAATATTTATTTGGCAGCAATTACAGGCTGAATCCTGAATCCTCCGAGAAGGGCTGGGGCTACACCTCCCCCATGGAGGCCTGCTTTCAGGAGTGGGAGAAAAAGCAATGGGCACTGCTCCCAAGCTGCAGCCTGCAATCTGGATGTGCTCTGGGAGCATGCGGCTTGGGTTTTAGGAGAAAATAAGGCTGGGATTCACTGCTTTACAGAGCCGGAAGGAATGAGCCAGTGGCAGACCGAGGCAAAACAGAGGTTCATGTACACACATTCCCTGTCACCTCCTCAAGCAGTAATGTCAGATGGTAACAGCATTACCCTTTTGTTTCCTTTCCACTTCCTCCAGGTGACCTGGATGTCAGTTTCCATCGGATTTCACTGGTATAAACATACTGAGGAATGAGGGGCTAACTTAGCATGCAGTGATGCCCTCTGTCCATTCACCACCCTGCCGAGGTCACCCAGGTCACTTTACCCTGCCTAGCTTGCCAGGGTACCAACCGCTGAAGAAACCCTCCAGTGGTAAAGCACTTGCCTACCAGTAGTACACACAAGGCCCTGGGTTCCAACCCCAGCACCACCAAAAAATGAACAGAGAAAAGAATACTACAAGGGAGGCCGTGCCAAGCCAGTTCCTTGATTCTGATGACTGTTCAAATTACTTCCTGCATCATCTCCAGTGATTCTGTCTTATTTGATAAAAAGTTTGGAAGCAGGAAAAGCAAGAGATTTAAGGTTTCCTCCTGCTGTTCAATATAAACGGAAAAAACCTGCTGTGCTAAGTGGAGCCACTGCACACAATCTGTCACATGCAGCTGGGTCTGGACACAAATACACATGCCTCACAAACAAGTTCCTCCAACGTTTTACTGCAGACCCTGCCCTGGGAGAGTTTTCAGAGTTCAAGCCTACACACCCCTTTGCACTCACTCTCCAGGAACCACGCACAGATATTTCCCTAAAGACGCTGCCACAAAGGCAGTAACCTCTCCTCACACTTCTTCCCACCCGCTCCACGCACAGCTTTCCTACCAAGAAACAGCCAGGCACCTTTGGGAGCTCCCACGACTGTCAGCTGCAGATCCCCACACACATCCTGGAGAGAAGCCAACAGCAACCACCAGAGGCAAGGATCACAGGGGTGGCTGGTAGTCAAGGGGTGGATCTGATCCCAGAGTCCTGCAAGAGATTCAGATGGACTATATCACCACTGACCAATGAGGAGGAGGAGATTCTCCCTCAGGGATCCCGAGTGACACAGTGTTTGTGTTGATTCAAAGTGCCGTTAACCCCAGGCATGCACCAAGATCTCTATTCAGACCCAAACAGACAGAGAGATGACAGACAAATATTTTGTTGTTGTGGTTCAATTCTTCATTGCTATCTCCAGAGAAGCCAAACTACTTTAATCTTAAAGTGAAATAAATTTCAGTGAGAAAGCAGGATAACACCACGGGGGAGCTTTATTTTTATTTTAATAGAAGTTTTTTCTCTCTTGGGGTTTTGTTTATCTGACCATATATGTCCATAGAAAAATATTATTCCAGAGTCTGTTCCTGCGTGTTTGCATAGACTTTGAACACCAAATGAAAGGCAAGCCGAGATGCTCTGTGGACTTACTGTTGCATTTAGATGATGTACTTAGATCTTTGTCATCTAGTTCAAGAGCAACTTGTTTATTGAGCACTGGCCAAAAAGTGCTTTTGAAATACACTATTAAACTCCTCAGAGACTCATGGGGAATAAAAGTAACTTCTCCAATGCACATCTACCAAAGTCTTTCCAACTACCAAGGCAATAGTCACATTATGCTAAATGGCCACCAGGACACCAGAGGCTGGGGCCACACAGTTTCCAGAGTAAAGCAAGATTCTGCCGACTTAACACTGGCACGACCTTGTTCCCAAAGCCTTCTGTCCACAACCAACTATCGAAGCAGGCAGGAGGTAGGACTGAAAAGCTCCATGCTTTATTGTCATTGTTATTTTAATCCCTGACACTCTGAAATCACTGAAACCCTGAATTTCAGACTCCTCAAAAGAAAGTTCAGAAAACTCTTTGCGCCACCTAGCTGGGGTGGCCTGCCCTCAGTCTCCGTCCCTCTCTCTTCCCCTGCCCCAGCCTTCACTTAACTGCAGCTTACTGTCACACCACTGATTTTCCAGGTGTGATCTTGGGATGGCCCACGAGACAATCACCTGAGTGCTTGCCAAAGAAGTATTTTGGGGGCTCGGTGTTCACAACTTCCCTTTCTGTTCTATTCTGAGTGATTTCTTCCTAAAAATGTATCAGATCACACTGCGATCCTGCTTTAAAACTTTCACTAGCTTCCTGTTTTATAAAAACAAAGTCCCAAGCCCTTAGTCTCTGTGCTGCCAGCAGTGCCGAGTATCCTCAAGCTTCATTTCCTGCCAGTCCGTATCCTCCTAAATTCCAGACTTTTTTTCTGGTCACATGCAACCACTTCACTCCTCTACACCCTTGCGTGTTATACCCCAAGCCTAGAATATCCTCCCCTCTGTTTGATTGGGAAACTCTTCCTTACCCTTGGAGTTTCACCCAAATAAACCACTTAAAACCTTTCACTGCCTCCTCCTTTGCGCCCTCCACATATTGTCCAAGGCCCAGTGCTATCTGAGCACTTCTGTCACTACAGCGTAACGTCTTCTTTGCCTCTCATCTCTCCCTAAAATATCCCTAAGCAAGGGTGGTTGGCTGGCATTCAACTGACAGTACAGGCTGAATTTCTACCAGAAGCACAGGTCTAAGCCAGGGGCTGAAGAGAAAGGAATGAACAAACCCTCGTCCCAAATGAAGTTCACAATGATTGCCATCTCCTTTCAGGTGGCCCCTCCCCCCCGTCTCACTAAACTCTATGTCTAGCAGAGTGTATTAATCCATTTTCAGTTGCTATAACAAAATACTTGAAGCCAGAAAACATATAATGAAAAAAGGCTTATCTAGAGTTCTGTGAGTTCAAGTCAGTGTGCTGCTGTTTGCTTGGCTCTGGTAAGGGCTTCATGGCAGGTATTGAAAAGGTCATGCGACAAGACAGGAAGCCAGAGAGAGTGAGAAACCAGGCTTGCACGTTTTTATAACATCTCAACCAGACCAGCATTAATCCCATCTAGAGTGGCACTCCATGCCCTAGGCCCCACCTCTTAAAGGCTCTGCCACCTTTCAACACTGCCACCCTAGAGCCGGGCTTCTAGCTCACAAGCCTTTGGGGTCAAATGCAAGCCACAGCACGGAGCATCCCAGCCCTGAGTACTCTGTCCCCCTCCTCCTCACAACGCTGTTTCTCATTCTGATATAATTTCCAAGAGGTATGTTTCTAATGGACAAATCTGATCCTATTACTTCTCCAATCACAATTCTCCAACTTGCCTCTAGGGTAAAATCTGAAGTGCTGCGCGCCATCTGCAGGCATACCTGCCCTGTGCTCTTCACAGCTCCTGTCCCCTTCCTGTCTGTGTGGTGGCACGAAGCCCTGGCAGGAATGGCTCTGCCAATGTACACACCCTCTCTGGGAATGGGGCAGGACCCCTGGGCTCAGTGGTTCAATGCAAGAGACTTGTTGATGTGCCATATGGGCTTAACAATTCATACTGATATCTGATTCCCTATGGTAAATTAATATCAATGAATGGTATTGAGAAGCAGTAGGACCTTTCTCTTCTCCAGTGCTGGAGATCAAAGCAGAGTCTTTGTGCATGCTAGGCAAGTGGTCCACCAATGAGCTACAAATCTCGCCAACAATCTTTTTATTTATTTTTTTATTTATTTACTTTGAGACAGGGTCTCACTGTGCAACCAAGCTGGCCTTGAACTTGTGGCAATACTCCTGCCTCAGCCTCCAGAGTACTGGAACTATAGGCACATGCCCCCATGCCCGGCCCAACAATCTTTTAATTGGTGCATTTAGACCTCTGACATTCAAAGAGATTACTGATGTAGCAGAATTGATACCTACTTTATTTTTTTGTTTTACCCTAAAGTTTAGAAAATAACCCAAGTTCACTTTCAAATAATGTAACCTGACTCACAAGAATGAGTACCTTGCAATAACAAAATCATCCTAATGCTATCCCTTGTATGATCACTGCCCTTCCTTTAGTTTATACATAAACATATATATGTAAGCATCAAATACATTGTTGCTATTATTTTGAGCTATCATCTATTAGATCAATTATGAATACAAAAAAGCTTTTATTTTTACTTTAACTTACTTTTTCTCTAATTTTCTTTCTTCCTTAATGTATATGCAAGTTTCTGAACTGTATCATTTTCCTCCTTCCTAAAGAACAACTTTTAACACTTCTTGCAAGGCAAGTCTACTGAACAAATCTCCTCAATTTCTGTTTGTCCTCCCTTCTAAAAGATAATTTCACAGGGCCTAGAATTCTAGATTGGATTTTTTTCTCGCAACCCTTTAAGTCTTTTATTCCAGGCTGGGCATGGTGGTGCATGCCTGTAATCCCAGCACTCGGGAGGCTGAGGCAGGAGGATCACTGTGAGTTTGAGACCAGCCTGGCTACATCATAGTGAATTATAGGTCAGTCTCAACTACATAGTGGGACCCTGTCTCAACCCCGCCCCCCCCAAAAAAACAAATCTTTTATTCCACTCTCTTCCTACTTGTATAGTTTCTGAGGAGTCAGACCTAGTTTTTCTGTAAGTAAGTTACTACTTTTTAGCCTGGCTTCTTTCAGGAATTTTTTTTTCTTGATTTCCTGTAGTTTAAATATGAGTATGCATAAGTGTAGTTTTTCTGGCATTTATCCTCCTGAGCTTCCTGGACCTGTGGATTGGTGTCTGACATTAATTTAGAGAAATTCCCAGTCATTGTTTCAGATTTTTTTCCTATTTCCTTTCTTTTACTCTGCTATTCTCATTATCCATTATTCAACCTTTTGTAGTTGTCTCACAATTCTTGGATATCTTGTTCTTTCCCTCACTAACCCAAGTCTTTTTTCTTGACTTTTTAGTGAAGTCTCTATTGATATAGTATACCCTTAAGCTCAGAAATTCTGTCATCAGCCCCATCATCTACCAATAAGCCCATCGCAGCATTCTTCATTTGTTTTAGTGTTTACTATCTCTAGCACTTCTTTTTAGTTCTTTACAATTTACATCTCTCTGCTTATATTACCTATCTGTTTTTGCATGCTGTCTACTTTATCCATTAGAGCCCTTAGCATAGGAATCATAGTTGTTTTAAATTCCTGGTCTGACAATCCAACATCACATATCTGAGTCTTATTATGGTATTTATTCTATCTCTTCAAATTGTGTTTGTTTGGTTGGTTGGTTTTGGGTTTTTTGTTTGTTTTTTGGTACCAGGGATTGAACTTGGGACATTGTACTTACAAGGTAGGCAGCAGCACCACTGAGCTAAATCCCCAGTCCTGATTTTGGTTTTCTGAGACAGGGTCTTGCTATTAGTTCAGGCTGAACATTTTTGTTTTTTGTTTTTTGTTTTTGGTACGAGGGATTGAATTCAGGGCCTTGCGCATGCAAGGCAGGCCACTGAACTGCTAAGCTAAATCCTCAGCCCATGAACTTGAACTACCTATGTAGCCCAGGCTGGCCTCAAACTCACAGAGATCCTCCTGCCTCAGCCTCCCAAGTGCTGGGACTACAGGCGTGCACCACCATGCCCAGCTCACGTTGTTTTTGCCTTTTAGTATGCTTTATAATTTTTTTCTTGAGAAAAATTCTGATCACGATTCTCCAAGTAAGCATGACTGATGTCTTAATCCATTTTCCATTCCTGTAGCAGAATATCTAATACTGGGTAATTTATAGGGAAGAGGTTTATTTTGGCTCACTGTTTTGGAGGCTGAGACATCCAAGCCAGGGTGGCCAAATGTAGTGAAGTCCTTGTTCTGCTTCAACTCGTGGTGGGAAGCAGAAGAGCAAGTAGGAATGTGTAGAAAAGACAGAACAGAAAGGATGGACTTACTATATAATAACCTGCTCTGGAGGTAACTAACTCAGTCCCATTATATTCCTGCTACAGCAAGAACTCACCTATGGAGAAAGGCGTTAGTCCATTCACGAGGCTCCACCCTCGTGACCCAAACATGTCCTGTGAGGCTCCACCTCCCAAACTGCTACTTCAAGGAACTAAAGTTCCAATACATGAACTTTTGGGGGACACATCCAAACCATAACTGGGTAAAAGGAACAGCTGTAAATAGGCCTTTAGTATACAGTGGTGAGGTTTGAGGGGAGGGAAAGCATTCTGTTATGGTTTCTATCTAGATGTCCCCACAAAGCCTCATGTGCTCAGATGGGATGACTTTGGGGAGGTGACTGGATCATGGGGCATGATACTCACCAGTGCACTGGTACACTGATGAGTTTACAGCTAAATGTGACTTTGGAGATGAAGCCTAGATAAAGGAGGTCACATTGGGGCCATGGCCTAGGAGAGTGCATCTCCATCCCTTCTCCTTGATCCCTCTTTTTACTTCCTGCTACCATGCCACAGACTGTTTCTCTTTTGCCTTGCCCCTCTGTCATGCTGCCCTGCCTTGGAGCCAATCAACTACGGACTGAAACCTGTACATTCTGTGAGCCAAAATAAACTTCTCCTCCTTCAATTTGCTGGTGTCAGGTTTTATGTCTCAGCAATGAGAAAGCAACTAGGATACATTCTATAATCCTACTATTAGGCCTCACTGTTTTAATGAACCTGCGTCCCAGGACTGTGGACTTTACTTGTGATTTTCAGCCCCTTCCTTAGGAGGGATGGAATAACTAGAGTGACCTAGAGTATTTCCTTTTGTCTAGGTCAATCAAGCTCTGATAAAAACCCCAGTAGAGGGTTGAGGTTATAGCTCAGTGGTAGGGCACTTGCCTAACACGTGCAAGGCCCTAGGTTCCATTCCCAGCATAGCGGGGAATAAATCAGGTTAGGCTTTGGTTAAACACTTTCTTTTGAGGTCAGACTTGTTAAGAACAGAACACTCTGATGTATTTCAAAATAGTTCCTTTTCCCCTGCCCCTGCCAAAAGTGTGAGGGGATTTTTCTCCATTATTCACCGTAAGAACTTGGGGGAGCTCCAGAAGGTAAACTGAAGAGATGATGCAGACTGGAGTTTTTAACTCAGACTCATCCACTTTGAGCATCCAACAATTTGTCAGTTACAGTCCTGGTTTCTGTTCCAGTAAATTGGGATGTTGTGTATTTGTCCATTGCTCCAATTTGAGGACAGTGGTTTTCCCTGTGACCAGTTTCTCTTATGAGTCTAAGAAGAGTTGCTACTATTCAATTTGTTGAGGTTGGTACTTGTGAGAATGGAGCTGTGTCCAAGCTCCTTACATACTGGTCAGGGATTGGATTTAGAAGTTGTGCACGTGTGTGTGCGTGCGTGCGTGCGTGCGTGTGTGTGTGTGTGTGTGTGTGAAACAGTGATATATATATATTACTGAGAAAGCAAAATATGATTACACAGCAATAGCCGGACATACAAGGAATTCACAACTCCCTGAAGAAAACACATCTGGATGACCTACCTAGTGATTTCCCCAGGAGACACAGGAATGTCTCTATATTTCATTCCCTGCTCCTCCCCTGAAACAATTTCAATCACTCGATAAATCATTATCACTCATTAATAATGTTTACTGAGTGTCCAGATGTAAAAGAAATTCACTATACATTCCACAGATGCAATCCCTTCCCCCAGGGGGTTCCTTTCCATTTTAATGCAAACAATATAGAATGTTTACATTTTCCTTTTACAGGTTCTGCCTGGATTTGCTGTTGTTCTTTCTTGTTTTCTCCCCCCACCCAGAGAATAGTTTCCTGGCTTTATAAACTATATTGCGCCATTTCACTTCCAAGATACAGAAGGAAGTGGAACAGGAACAGATGACACTTGCTGAGCAGCACTAGCCAAGCCTCTTCAGGAGGGGAGAGAACTCCTGGAGGTGAGTCCCTCAGCATGAACGGGAGGATGGAACACCTTAAGTAAGGATCACAAAGAATCTCTGGGATAGAAAGAACACAAGTCAAGAAGAGGCCAGCCCTGCCAGGTGTGGTAGTTGAAGCCTATAATACCTGCTAATCAGGAGGCTGAAGCAAGAAGGTTTCAAATTCAAGGCCAGTCTAAGAAACTTAGTGAGGCCCTGTCTCAAAATAAAAATAGCAAGGGATGTAGCTCCATAGTGGAGCACTTGCTTAGCATTATGACTCCCACGATTTAATCTCCAGTAACACACACACACACACACACACACACACACACGAGACCAAACTGGTAACAAACCAGTGTTGTTAAATTGTTTCACTTCTTTTTGCTGTATCAAAATAATCTCACTGATGCGATGGGCTAACATCATTTAGGCCCTATGTCAGAGCCACAAAATGAATTCCTCATTCTTCAGTTTATGAAGTCTGGACAGGTGGGCTCTGATTTTCTCTTCTAAAGCCCTCTACCAGGGTTGTTAAAACTTTGTCTCTTTCAACTGTTCTGAGAATTGCTGTCTACATCCAGGCTAACGACTCACTAAGACTCTTCCACCCACTGCCCCAACGGCCCTCTAGGTTGTGCTCTACTCTGTGTCCCCATGGGTTTGCAATGCTACCATGTATGTCAAGCCTGGCTGACCCTTTTACGATACGTAGTCATCCTGAAAACATGGGCAGACCACCCAGCAGTGTAGACAATAGGGTGGGCAGGCCTTATACTGAATCTCAAAGCTTAAAGATAGTTATTATCTAACCCAGTGGTTTTCTTTCTTTTCTTTTCTTTTTCTAAGTGGAACTGTAGGGCTCGGAAGGTAGCTCGGTGGTAGAGCTTGCCTTGCATGAGCCAGGCTGGGGTTCACCCCCAGCACTACAAAAATAAAAATAAAAAAGAAGTGGAACTCTGTTTTTCCATTAAAATCATGTACATACACCCTAAAATATCTATGTAGTTGAATACTCGGGAGGGGAAGGGCTCTCCACTAGACTCTAAGAAAGAACTGTCTCACAAACCATACCGAGGGTCAGGGATTTATTTAGCTCAGTGGTGCCACACCAGCCTCGCAAGCGCAAGGTTCTGAGTTTGATCCCCAGTACCATAAATAAATAAATAAATAAATAAATAAATAAATAAGCAAGCAAGCAAGCAAGCAAGCAAGCAAGCAAACAAGCCTCCGTTGTATACAGGAGGACATGGGTGTAGAAAGTGGTCAGGTAGACTGCCCCGGGTTATAGGGTTGGGGACAATCCAACTTCCTGATACTTCATCCTTTGCTCTTTTTGCTAAAACACCCTGAGAATCTGCTCAGAGCCCGTGGAGCTACATGTGGCAATACTAAGCCACAAAAATGACTGACTCAATGCTTTCATTAAACACTGCCCCCATCCATTTCCTGAGAAAGAGGGGTTTTAGTTCTTTGTGCTACATTAACTCCAGTCAGTAATTCTGAATTCCTCTTGGCAGAAATAATATAGGTCAGATTCCATTAAACACATATCACTACAATTTTTTAAAGTTTTTTTTATTCGAACCCAGCTTATGGTTTCTAGTGAGATTCAACCAGCCAGAGGTTATATACTATGAAAGAATTTGGATAGCCTTGAGGACCTTAATAAGACAATTTGGCCTATGTTATATGTAGTAGTAGTATGTATTTTTAATAATTTAGGTAGCATTTGGCTTCCAAATTGCTCACTGCATTTTACAAAATCCAACACAATATTCCAGGACCTGTAGGCATTCAACCTCATACCCCAGGGTAGTTAGATATGAAATGTAATTTGCTATCCTGAACAGAGACAAGAGAAAGGCCAATGAGCCTTTCTAGGCCTAGACCCTGGGCTCACCAAAGCCCCATGGCAGCCTTCTGAAGGAGCTCACTGGTCCCAGCTTTGTCTCTCAGGAGTCCTGGGTTACTTACAAGTCCTTATTAAAGTAATTCTGTTGAAGACTGTTTAAAAGAAGGAAAGATAAGTGAAAATTCGAAGAAAATATTTGCAAAATTCAAGGATAGGGTAAAAACAGACTGAAGTGGGTGTCAGATCAGGATGCAGCATCTTTCTGAAAGTACCTACACTGCTGAGTTGGGGGAGAAGTGATATCATTTCATGAGGATTGATCAAGGAAGCAACAGCCACAAAGAACGAGGAAACCATCTAGATGGGGTATAAATTCAAGGCCAGGATCCAAGTAAAATATCAAATTGGAAGGGAAAAAAGTAACAGAAACATTTCAGATGTCAAAAGCTGAAACTCAGTCTCTGGGATCTGGCCACTTAGGTTTCCTCTCACACCTGACAGCTGGAATAAGAGCCCTGTCCTTTCTTAAAGACTGTGCTGCTGGCACACAATGCCTCTGGTGTGATGGAAGCCACTTACCATGCGAGTCGTATGGGCAGGGGACCAGGTGTATGGGGGCAGCTCATACCACTTCTCGGGTTTCTCAGTGATTAGCTTGGATTCAAAATGTGGTATTAGAATAGTTCACACCGGGACATTCTCTGAACCCTGCTTGCCCTGGGGCTGGCACTTCTGCCCTACAAAAGGAGGAGAATTGTAAGAGCATTGAAAAAACAAAGCAAAGAGGATAAAATACTTGTAAAGCTTTTGATGGTACTGAGTCACACATATAAGTAAGTAAGCACACGATAAAAGTACTGAATGTTCTATAACATACACAAAAATGTCAACAGAACAACTTTTTACATGACTTCATGGAGCAGCAAGGCAAAGCCAGAGTTGAGAACCAAACTGAAGCTTCTAAACATCTGGGACTTTAAATACCTTTATACTACATATTGTTTTGGAGGGACCTACAGCTTTCTGATGAGAATCGAGTACAAAGCACACACATTCTCATGCATGCATCTTGCTCTTCACAGGAAGAGCACCAGGGATTAGAACTGCTATGTAGGCAGGTGGTGTGGCTTAGTGGTAGAGCCCTTGCCTAGCAAGCACGAGGCCCTGGGTTCAATCTCTAGCACTGCAAAACAAAAGAAACAGAAAACCTACCACCCATTTGCTGCATGACATTGGGCACATTAAATCATCCCTGAAATGAGACTACGAAAACCTACTTCATAGGGTCCTGGTTGGCATAAATGAAATGAGACGATGTACATCAATCATCTACAGCAGTGCCTAGGACACAGTGACTGCCTTGTTCATTCAACCAACATTCACGAAGCTTCTCACTAGATGTTCACACGGTGCCTGGCACCAGAAATAAAGTCAGCGAAGACAAGCCTGGGCCCTGCCCCTGTGGAGCTTTCAGTATGCCCTCCAGCCCCATCACTGTAGCAGCACTCATCCTGACCTGCTTGTCTTGACTGAGGCCACACAGGTGGTTCTGCATTGGTCACAAAGATACACAAGGTACAGAGGTTGTTCTTCAACCATTAAGTCTAACAAAGGCCAAGAGAGAAGCACACAATTGCACGGGGAATATTTTCAAAGTAGATTCCAGGCTGGGCATGATGACACAGGTCCATAATCCCACCATTCTGGGAGGTTGAGGCAAGAGGATCACAAGGTTCAAGCTCAGCCAGGGCAATTTTTTTACTTACAGTGTCTCAAATTAAAAATTAAAAAGGGGCTGGGGATGTAGGTCAGTGCAAAGGCCCTTCACTTCTTCATACCAAAAAAAGTAGGTTTCAAGGTCCCACCCTGGACTTGCTCAGAGAATCTCTAAGTGTGGCACCCTGGGATCTGTTATGATTGATTTTTTTTTTTTTTTTTCAGACAGGTCCTCCCTATACTGTTCAGGATGGCCTTGAACTCACTATGTAGCCCAGGCTGGCCTCAAACTCATAGTGATATGGTTTCAGCCTCCCAAGTGCTGTTATGATTTTTTAAAAATGTCCCCAAGTGGTCAAATGTAGATCTCTTAGTCTAAGTTTGCCTGCCTTTTTAACAAAAAAAATTCTACAATGATCAATTGTTATAACACAAAGCCCAAGCTAAGAAATCAGATAATGACAAATGCTGGTGAGGCTGTTGAGGAAAGTGAAATCAGTGTGGGGATTCCTCAAAAACTAAAACTAGAAATTCATTCAACCTAGCTATTCCCCTTCTAGGTAACTTCACAAAAAAATTAAGAAAAAAAAGAATCATACCCTGCAAACACATACTAATAAAAAAAATTTAAGTTAATAAAAATGCCACACGAAAGGGCCCAGTAGTGTTATGAGAGTTAGGAAAAGACCAACACCATCGAGGAGGAGGCAGCATGGAGATGGAAAGTGAGCTAGACAGGGCTGGAATCTGAACCCACAGGGATAGAGAAAGGGAATATTAGGGCAAGCAGAAGCCAGTCATTTGGTTCAAGGGAAAACTGCTTGAATGGGATGATGAGGCATGAAGTTACAGGACTGAGACTACTTCATTTATTCATTCATTCATTCATTCATTCAAACATGGAACGCCGGGCCAAGGATTTAGCTCAGTGGTTCCGCCGCCTGCCTCACAAGCACAAGGACATGAGTTCAATCCCCTGTACCAAAACAAACAAACAACAACAACAACAAAAACATGGAATGCCAAGTGGCATTCAGTACTACTCTAAACCCTGAGGACACCAAGATAAAGATACTCCTGGCTAGTAGTGTGACCAACTTGGCTATATCACCTAAGCAGTAATGGAAGCTCTTACGGTTTGCATCTAAAATGTCCCCCAAAGGCTTATGTATTTATTAAAAGCAGCCATGTTCAGAGGTGACTCAACCATCAGGGCTCCAATCTCTTGGAAGGTGCTGGAAACTGTAGGAAGTGGAGCTGGTTGGATGTAGGTGACTGGGGGCATGTCCTGGAAGGGTGTATTAAGTCCCAGCCCCTGCCACAGCAACAGAAGCTGACTAACAGAGAAGCTGAGGGTGCTAAAAGAAGAGCAAGGGCAGCGGCAGCCCGGAGGATCAGCACAGCCTGGAAGAACCAGGCAGCTAAAAGCAAAGAGAGATAACACGGTGCAGTGGGTTGAACTGCTATGTCGAGATGTATGAGAAGCAGGCAGGTTGGAGTGATGCATGTATGAACCACACAACGGCCAGGCTGGCCAGATGCCGGGATCAGGGCCTGGTGAGGGGTTTAGAGCGGGTTCTCCTCACAGTCCTCAGAAGGAACCACTCCTGCTGCCATCTTGGTCTCAGACCACCAGCCTGCAGAACCGTGACACAACAAATTTCTCTTTATCTGAAGCCAGCAGTTTGCAGTTTTTAGTTGCTGCAGCCCTCAGAAATGATGTTTAAAGGGAAGGGAAGATGTTGTCACCTGGGACAACATGGATGAACCTAGGGGACATAGTGCTAAGTGAAACAAGATAGGCACAGAGAGGCAAATACAGCAAGATCTCACTCATATGTGGAATCCAAAAGAGTGGAACTTGAAGTAGAGAGCAGAATGCTGGTTACCAGAGCTAAGGTCGGAGTGAGGGTATGGGGAGACATAGGTCAATGGGTACAATGTTTTAATAAGACAGGAAGAATACATTTTCGTTCTGTACAATTTACTGTCATAGTGACTACAGTTAATATTTATGTATTTCAGAATTGCACAAATGAATAATTTTAAATGAAATCACAAAGCATGTGAGGTGATGGATATGCTAATTACTTGAGAGAATCATTCTACAATATATACATGTGTCAAAACATTACACTGAATTCTCTATACACAATTATTATGTGTCAACTAAAAATAAAAATCTGAACAAAAATAAAAACAATAAATGTTCCACTAAGAGAGAAGTGGAAAACAAAATGTCATAGATACATACAACAGAATATTATTCAGCCTTAAAAGGAAGGAAATTTTGACACATGCTACAACATGCTTGAACTTTAAGACATTAAGCTAGCCAGGCATGGTGGTACACGCCTGTGATCTCAGCTACTTGGGAGGCCAAGGCAGGAAGATCACAACTTTGAGGGCAACCCAGGCAACGTAGTGAAATGCTGTCTCATAATAAAAAATAAGAAGGGCAGGGGATATAGCCAGTGGTGGGTCACCCCTGAGTTTGATCCCTAGTACCATACATACATACACCAAAAAAGACATTATGCTAGTGAAATAAGTGAGCTGCAGAAAACAAATAATACACAATTCCACTTATACGAGGTACCTAGAATAGTCAAATTCATAGCAACAGAAAGTAAATGGTGGTTCCCAAGGGCTCAGAGAAGGGAAGAATGGGGATTTACTCTTTAATGTTAATTATTTAAACAATAGCAATAAACCAGGGCCAGGGATTTAGCTCAGTAGTGCCACCGCCTGTCTCGTAAGAGCAAGGACCCGAGTTCAATCCCTGGTACCAAAAAAAAAAAAAAAAAAAAAAAAAAAGATAAA